TAGGAGAGAAGACCTCATATCTGTCCACCATTAAGACATCCACACAGATAACTGGATAGCATGTTCTTACATAACACATCACAGATAACTAGGTAGCATGTTCTTACATCAAACACATACATGAATAATGAAAAAACAAGATAACTTGATGACAGTTCAAGAGCATAAATTAAAAAGTTCAAGGCTTCAAAGCATTCAAGGCGTCAAGTCTGCTACTGCTGCATGCCAAACTCCAGGCGTCAAGTCTGCTACTGCTGCATGCCAAACTCCATTCAGAAGAGCAGGAAGATAATACTTATTGTACATAATAATTAGTGCCAAAGTAAAGAAAAAAGACAGCAGCTTCCTTTGAGTCTCCAAATCACTGATTCTTGATTTGAGATCAACAATTGCTACATCATTACTGGTGACCGTGACTCCTGTTTGCCACTTGCACGCCCTGCCCAATATTTCAACAAATAACAGAGTAAAAATCACTAGTAGGCAGGACTGAAAGAAGATCAATTTCTTCAAATATTGCAGCAATTTGTTGAGCTCTCCATTGATAATACAAGAAGCAACCAAGCAGCAATAACTTACTTGTGCCCCTGTAGCTTCCTCATGAAGCCGATCTTTTTCTCCATGGATGACAGCTTGGAGTACCTTTTTAAAATAATAGGGTCCCTAAGTAGGTCAACAGCGTTGATATAATCATCATCGAGTTCTTGCACACCCGACTCCAAAAGTTCGTCCAAAAGCTTATCAATTTGGGCTCGAGCGATGCTGACCCCTCGAGGCCACCATAACCCATCATGTGTAGTTTTTCCTAGTCATATAAGAGTTACATGTAGCAATCGCCATCGCTAGAGTTCCTGGTCGTGCCCGCCTCCGCCGGGCTGCACACCTTTCCCTCTCATTCCACTAGTTCCCTTACATTTGAGAGATCTACATAGGCTGCAGAGTACTTATCCATCTTATCCCACTAGTTTATTTACTTTTAAGAGATCTCATAGGAGTTGGTCAAGCCCAAACCTATGAAAACATAGCGATGACCAACTCGCACCCACTCGGACATGTCCCATCAGCCACCATAACCCATCATGTGTAGTTTTTCCTAGTCATCTAAGAGTTACATGTAGAGTATGAGTACTTTCTCCTCTAATACTACTAGTTTTTTTTTTACTAGGCCAACTTCGTAGTACTTATCCATCTTATCCCACTAGTTTATTTACTTTTAAGAGACCTCATAGGAGTTGGTCAAGCCCAAACCTATGAAAAGATAGCAACAACCAACTCGCACCCACTCTGACATGTCCCACTGTGCCACCATAACCCATCATGTGTAGTTTTTCCTAGTCATATAAGAGTTACATGTAGAGTACATGAGTACTTTCTCCTCTAATACTACTAGTTTTTTACTAGGGCCAACTTACGTGAATGTTTAACACACTTTGCCTTCTTCTTGTGCTCCTAGCCCTCGGCCTTGTAAGTCTCGCCTCCTATACCATCTCCTCGATCTCCCTCGTTTCTTAGGCGGGTGATGGTGATATTGTACTGGTGCCGAACTCTGGACATGCCCTCCACCGCCATCGCTAGAGTTCCGGTCGTGCCCGCCTCCCCGCCACGCACACCTTTCCTCTCATTCCACTAGTTCCCTTACATTTGAGAGATCTACATAGGCTGCAGAAAGTACTTATCCATCTTATCCCACTAGTTTATTTACTTTTAAGAGATCTCATAGGAGTTGGTCAAGCCCAAACCTATGAAAACATAGCGACAACCAACTCGCACCCACTCGGACATGTCCCACTGTGCAACCATAACCCATCATGTGTAGTTTTTCCTAGTCACATAAGAGTTACATGTAGAGTACATAGTACTTTCTCCTCTAATACTACTAGTTTTTTTTTACTAGGGCCAACTTACGTGAATGTTTAACACACGCCGCCTTCTTCTTGTGCTCCTAGCTCTCTCGGCCTTGTAAGTCTCGCCTCCTATACCATCTCCTCGATCTTTTCTCGAGTGAGTTCTTCATGTCCACCTTCTTCTTGTGCTCCTCATTCTCGGCCATGTACTTCCTTGCCTTGGGTTGTTTTGGCCGTTGGTGACGATCTCAACACGGTCATGCCGCCACACCGACGTAGTTCTCTGCTCACACTCCAGTTTTTCTCCACCGAGGAAATAGATGAATACCACATAAGCACAACAGAGCCAAAATAACCACCGATTCTAGCATCGTTGTTCTCAACTAATCTTGTGACAAGCTCCAAGAAGGCCACGTATGGTGACAACAGTTCCTTTTTGTCCTTTTACATGGCTACACAAATTATATACATCCAGAAATTCTGCCATACCAAGTTTTGTATTTTTTATTTTCATATCTAGGGTTCCAACCCATTTTTCTGACTTTTTTTGCTTGTGTTGAAGGTACTACACCCCAAGACCCACGTTTTAGTTCACCCATTATGGTGATGGTTATGAGTGTACTGCGCATTAGAGGGACATTCACATTCAAGTTGGAAATTAGATCATTGGTGATGCAAATGTGGTTCCCGTCTTCGGTAAGACCTGGTTCTTTGGCTCCACCGTCAATAACTTGGTCACTATGAGTAGGACCTATCCACCTACTACGACAACCTACTCGATAAGTTCGAAAGACTCTGGCTTCCCTTCAACTAGTGGTATGAAGGGAAAAGTACTCCGTCGAGTACTTAGGTCCCTAAACCCTTAGAGGTTGCATCAACTCGGAGCACTCGATGACCATCTTTGTAACTCCTAGATGACTTAGGCACACGATGAATCTGGCTCTAGAGTTAGGGTTTGGGGGAGGGATGATGGATCTAGCCAATAGGATTGGGGCCTGACCGACTACTTATATGGTGTTGATGAGGAGTAGATCTCTTAAGAGACATCTTCAACAATATATAAAGGGACACTGAATCTGCCGAGATATGTAATGAGTCATCAAAGATTCATACGCACGGGGCGGCCGTGAAGTCGCGACCCGGAGCTAGACGCCGGCCGCCGGGTGCCGTGGCGTCGCCCCCACCCCGTCCTCCGGCCTCACCTGGCTCCTGCGCGGCTTGCCGGCCTCCTCCGCGGCTTCGCCCCTCCAGCGGGCGGCGCCTTCTCGAGCTGCGGGCCTGCTGCGGGGAGCGGCGTCTCTGCAGCCCGGCAGCAGAGCTCCTCTGCCGGTCGCCCGCCCAACAGCCGTCGCCTCGCCTCACGCCGAGTGGCATTCTCGCCTCTTGTTGCCTTGCGTGGTAGGTGGCGTTGGTGCTAAGCAGCTGCCCAGGACAACCACCGCCCCGCAGTCTGCCCTGCTAGATTGCTCCTTGCATTCCTAGTAAGTTCCCGTGTGAATTTTTGGCCTGTTATGATGGCCTGCTCCTTGCCTTCCTGTGGTAAGTTCTTGTGTGAATTTTATTCTTTAGGGTTTGGACATTGGAAAATGGATATGGAGATTGGACTCATGACAGATTCTATAGAGATATAACTGTCCATTTTTTGTCTAAAGAAAATAAAATCACAAAAAACAATAGATTTGGTGGACACCGATCTGTCAGATTATGCAATCGGGAAATGCAAAAGAAAACCCAATCTGTCAGATTTTAGAATCCAAAAAAAGTAAGCGGACTGCATAACAAAACTTAGGACACATCTTGAAGTAAATCGGACTGCTCCAAATCTGATGGATACAAGAGATGAAAAACTATTGAAAGATAGATAACAAAATCCTTAAAGGATACTGTTATTTTTCACTAAATTGAGGCATGAAATCTCAAAAAAAAAAGAGGTATGATGAAATCAACATTGCATTTTTAGAAACATTAGGCGAAAAGGTCGTAATTTAGCTAATTCATAATCATGTATATTATTTTTTTAATTAGTTTTATCATATAACATATAAAAAAATTGACTAGGACTACCCTGTATTAAAATCCTGGGTCCGCCAAGTATGACTGCTATTAATTCACTCATGCGAGCAAATTGCAATGCCTACATTAGTAGCCCTATGTTGTATGCATATATTTCTTCATCGACAATAGCCTGTTAACCTACGATCTACGAATACAAGCTGTATTGCATAGATGGGTGTTTGCCTTGTGCTTGCATACATGGCTGTGCCTGCTGCTTGCTCTTTATCGGCATGAGCATGAGAGGCAGCCAGAACTAAAACCCCCATGGGGGACTGGAGGCTTCAGTTTGTTTTTGCTCAGCAGCTTGTTCTTTGATCCGTCAGAAAGCTAGCTACTGTCTACTGCAGATCGACCACAGCATGCATCTCCATATTGTCCAGATCGACCACATCATGCATCTCCATATTGTCCAGTAGCAATTTGTTACTTGCTAGCTTCTGTGAATTGTTTAGCCAATTGTTATGAATCTCTCACCTGAATTTTAGAAGCTACTTCCTTACCTTTATTGCCTCCAAACTAACACTACTCTGTGTATAGCGCGCCTCCACCCGCGCCCGCATCAGGATGAGGATGAAAATAGCTGGGAGCAAGAAGAGGACCAGGATGCCGGACCAGGCGTGCGAGTGGATGCCATCTGTTGTGGAAGACACAAATCTCCAAGAGCTTGTTGATCGAGGGTTCCTCCCCTGCAAGGAGTTTGCTAGGTGGAAATCTGTATACCAACAAGCTTTCCCTTCTGAAGGCACCGGTGAGACTACTGTTTATGCATCTTTCTTTGAGCGCGGTCTTGGTCTCCCCGCTTCAAAATTTCTCCGTGGGCTTCTCCACTTCTACAACATCGAACTTGTCCACTTGACTCCCAATGGAATCACCCACATCGCTCTCTTTGTTCATTTATGCGAAGCCTTCCTCGGAATCGATCCCCACTTCCAGCTCTTTAGATATTTCTTCCGTCTGAAGCCTAATCCAAAATCCGCTAACCCCAGTGTCTGTGGAGGGGCCGGCTTTCAGCTTCGCCAAAGTACCAAGAAACACTACTTTGATGTTCCTTTGAAGGACCCAGTCAGGACATGGCGAAGTGAGTGGTTCGTCATCGGAGATATGGCCCAGCTGCTTGTGCGTTCTGGCCACAAACCAGTCTGCACTGCTAAATGGAACAGCCCACCCAATCAGAAGGAGAGCATCCGGATCGAGGAGTTGGTGGAGAAGATTGCAAATCTGAAGGATCAAGGACTGACTGCAGCTGGAATAGCTTGGAGTTTCATTAAACGTCGGATCCAGCCACTTCAAGAGCGATCAGTACCCGGCTACTTGTACAAGGGCCCAGAGGATCCATCAAGGCTGAAGGAGGATCTCACCCATGATGAGATCTTGGAAAGGGTCGGGAAATTCTTGACAGGTGTCCATTCCGAGCCCAAGACTCCTCCCGAGTACTCTGCGACCAACTCTCCTCCGTCAGTAAGTCCCCTGACTTGTCATTGTTTGTTTTCTTTTGCCAATTTGGTTATTCATGTTGATTCTGAGATCTTCTTGTTACTTGCTTCTTTGCTTCTTTTGTAGGAACATATTGCTTTATATCACTCCCCACCCCCCTTGCCAGAGCATTTGACCGCTGATCAGATGACAGAAGCTGAGATATCTGGCAGCAAAGAACTTATAAGCCAACGAGCAAAGGCTGCCGCTCAATCAAGCTCAGGGTCGAAGAGACCAGTGGAGGAGGGGAGGCTGCAGGTGCAAGTGCCTAAGAAGAGTCGAACTGTGGCAAAGGTCAGAATGTGTCACGCCAGTGAAGATAAGATGCCTGGATGTCTTCCCATGACGTTGGTTACTACTTCCTCAGGTACAGGTCATCAGTTAGGTACAGCTCGTCAGTTATTTCCTCAAGCTTCAAGCCCCATTTCAGGTTTATCAACCACAGATCCATTGCTGTTAGAGGGGGGGATGCAAATCGAAGACCCCCGTGACGAAACAGAACATTCAAGGATCGTTCCAAAGGCATCAAACACAGATCCATTGCTGTCAGCGGGGATGCAAATCAAACCCCCCCTTCAGGACTTGCAAGGACCATCTCCAGATGTTATTCCTCTCGGCTCGCTGTGTTTTGAGTTCAAGCAATATAAGAAGTAAGTATACTTGAATTTAAGATTTATTCTCTTCCTTCTTGCAGTCATACTAATTGATGACATTATTGCTCTCAGAAAACCTGTTTCAATAGCAGCAGCACCTCCAATGATGACTGCTGCAGTGCTACCCTCCTCAGCTGAAGCCTCACAGCATCTGACTATTTCTGTAGTCCATGAGCTGGGTACTCGCCCATCTGACAATGTATCAGCCAGTGAAGATAAGATGCCTGAAGGTCTTCCCACTCTAGTTGCTAAATCTGAGGGTGAAGTGCTGAATCAGATACTAAACTCGGCACTGCTGAAACAGACCAACCAACTACTCACCCGCGCAGAGTCTGCAGAAGCAAAGTTGGCTGAAAAACAAGAGCGCTCGGCCAAGCTCAGAACATGTCATCTTGCTGTTCTTGCTGTCCTCGAGAAACAGATCAATTCTCTCAAGGAGGAGAATACAAAAATTTCGACTTCTCTGAAAGGTAAGGAATCCTTATTTCTAAGTCATGACATGCTCATCCTGATGATGCTGATGCAGTCTTGTGTATTTCAGAGCATGCTCAAACTGAAACCATACTCAAGGAACAGCTGACCAACCAGATGGATTGCTGCAAACACGCTATCAATCAGCTGCGCGAGGCTCAGAACACGCGCAAGGAGACATATTCTCAGTTTTTAACTAGTATACAGGAGATCCAAACGCTGAATAGATCCCTGGCCGAAGCTGAAGAAGATAAAGAAAAAATCAAGGAGGCTGCCACCCCAATTCTCAAATTAGTCTCCAGATTGTCTGAGAATCAAGCTTCGACTCCGTTCCTGGATCAACTGAGAGAAGTACCTGGATTGATCCGAGTATACTGTAAGAAAGCAGCTAGAGTCTGTACTTCAAGAGTACTCGGAACAGTGAGAGCATACTACCCTGGTCTTGATCTGACTCGAGTTGGTGAGGGCAAGCCAAAGGACTGCTCAGCTGAAGACTTTGCCAGTCATATTGTTGCAATGGAACCAGTAGCAGATAGTCTGATCGAATCATTCACCTTGTGATGCAATAAACTCAATAAACTCTTGCAGTATGGTGAAATATTTGTAAAGCAACCGATGTGCCTTTCTTTTTGTTTTGTGTATGCTAGTAAATATCCTCTATGAATTGTCATAGGCTGCAGAGTACTTATCCATCTTATCCCACTAGTTTATTTACTTTTAAGAGATCTCATAGGAGTTGGTCAAGCCCAAACCTATGAAAACATAGCGATGACCAACTCGCACCCACTTAGACATGTCCCATCAGGCCACCATAACCCATCATGTGTAGTTTTTCCTAGTCATCTAAGAGTTACATGTAGAGTATACTAGTTTTTTTTACTAGGGCCAACTTTTGAGTACTTATCCATCTTATCCCACTAGTTTATTTACTTTTAAGAGACCTCATAGGAGTTGGTCAAGCCCAAACCTATGAAAAGATAGCAACAACCAACTCGCACCCACTCACACATGTCCCACTGTGCCACCATAACCCATCATGTGTAGTTTTTCCTAGTCATATAAGAGTTACATGTAGAGTATATAGTACTTTCTACTCTAATACTACTAGTTTTTTACTAGGGCCAACTTACGTGAATGTTTAACACACGCTGCCTTCTTCTTGTGCTCCTAGCCCTCGGCCTTGTAAGTCTCCGCCTCCCTATACCATCTCCTCGATCTCCTCGTTTCTTAGGCGGGTGATGGTGATATTGTTCTTCCGGCACGAGGTATTAGGCGTAGTTCTCTGGCTGGTTATGGTCTTGAACTCGGACATCTCATAGGAGTTGGTCAAGCCCAAACCTATGAAAACATAGCGACAACCAACTCGCACCCACTCGGACATGTCCCACCAGTGCCACCATAACCCATCATGTGTAGTTTTTCCTAGTCATATAAGAGTTACATGTAGCATCGCCATCGCTAGAGTTCCTGGCCGTGCGTGCAGCTCCACCTTTTGCACACCTTTCCCTCTCATTCCACTAGTTCCCTTACATTTGAGAGATCTACATAATTGCAGAGTACTTATCCATCTTATCCCACTAGTTTATTTACTTTTAAGAGATCTCATAGGAGTTGGTCAAGCCCAAACCTATGAAAACATAGCGATGACCAACTCGCACCCACTGACATGTCCCATCATCAGCCACCATAACCCATCATGTGTAGTTTTTCCTAGTCATCTAAGAGTTACATGTAGAGTCACAGAGTACTTTCTCCTCTAATACTACTAGTTTTTTTTACTAGGGCCAACTTTTTGAGTACTTATCCATCTTATCCCACTAGTTTATTTACTTTTAAGAGACCTCATAGGAGTTGGTCAAGCCCAAACCTATGAAAAGATAGCAACAACCAACTCGCACCCACTCACACATGTCCCACTGTGCCACCATAACCCATCATGTGTAGTTTTCCTAGTCATATAAGAGTTACATGTAGAGTATAGAGTACTTTCTACTCTAATACTACTTTTTTTACTAGGGCCAACTTACGTGAATGTTTAACACACGCCTGCCTTCTTCTTGTGCTCCTAGCCCTCGGCCTTGTAAGTCTCCGCCTCCTATACCATCTCCTCGATCTCCTCGTTTCTTAGGCGGGTGATGGTGATATTGTTCTTCCGGCACGAGGTATTAGGCGTAGTTCTCTGGTGGTTATGGTGCCGAACTCGGACATCTCATAGGAGTTGGTCAAGCCCAAACCTATGAAAACATAGCGACAACCAACTCGCACTCCACTGGCACATGTCCCACCAGGCCACCATAACCCATCATGTGTAGTTTTTCCTAGTCATATAAGAGTTACATGTAGCATCGCCATCGCTAGAGTTCGGTCGTGCCCGCTCACGCCGCCGCACACCTTTCCCTCTCATTCCACTAGTTCCTTACATTTGAGAGATCTACATAGGCTGCAGAGTACTTATCCATCTTATCCCACTAGTTTATTTACTTTTAAGAGATCTCATAGGAGTTGGTCAAGCCCAAAACCTATGAAAACATAGCTATGACCAACCGCACGCACCCACTCAGACATGTCCCATCGTGCCACCATAACCCATCATGTGTAGTTTTTCCTAGTCATCTAAGAGTTACATGTAGAGTACAGAGTACTTTGTCCTCTAATACTACTAGTTTTTTTTACTAGGGCCAACTTTCAGAGTACTTATCCATCTTATCCCACTAGTTTATTTACTTTTAAGAGACCTCATAGGAGTTGGTCAAGCCCAAACCTATGAAAACATAGCAACAACCAACTCGCACCCACTCAGACATGTCCCACCAGGCCACCATAACCCATCATGTGTAGTTTTTCCTAGTCATATAAGAGTTACATGTAGAGTACAGAGTACTTTCTCCTCTAATACTACTAGTTTTTTTACTAGGGCCAACTTACGTGAATGTTTAACACACGCTGCCTTCTTCTTGTGCTCCTAGCCCTCGGCCTTGTAAGTCTCTGCCTCCTATACCATCTCCTCGATCTCCTCGTTTCTTAGGCGGGTGATGGTGATATTGTACGGTGCCGAACTCAAACATGCCCCTCCACTGCCATCGCTAGAGTTCCGGTCGTGCCCGCTCCTGCCGCTGCACACCTTTCCCTCTCATTCCACTAGTTCCCTTACATTTGAGAGATCTACATAGGCTGCAGAGTACTTATCCATCTTATCCCACTAGTTTATTTACTTTTAAGAGATCTCATAGGAGTTGGTCAAGCCCAAACCTATGAAAACATAGCGATGACCAACTCGCACCCACTCAGACATGTCCCATTAGGCCACCATAACCCATCATGTGTAGTTTTTCCTAGTCATCTAAGAGTTACATGTAGAGTACAGAGTACTTTCTCCTCTAATACTACTAGTTTTTTTTACTAGGGCCAACTTTCAGAGTACTTATCCATCTTATCCCACTAGTTTATTTACTTTTAAGAGACCTCATAGGAGTTGGTCAAGCCCAAACCTATGAAAAGATAGCAACAACCAACTCGCACCCACTCGGACATGTCCCACCAGCCACCATAACCCATCATGTGTAGTTTTTCCTAGTCATATAAGAGTTACATGTAGAGAGTCTGAGTACTTTCTCCTCTAATACTACTAGTTTTTTACTAGGGCCAACTTACGTGAATGTTTAACACGCTGCCTTCTTCTTGTGCTCCTAGCCCTCGGCCTTGTAAGTCTCCGCCTCCTATACCATCTCCTCGATCTCCCTCGTTTCTTAGGCGGGTGATGGTGATATTGTTCTTCCGGCCCGAGGTATTAGGCGTAGTTCTCTGGCTGGTTATGGTGCCGAACTCAGACATCTCATAGGAGTTGGTCAAGCCCAAACCTATGAAAACATAGCGACAACCAACTCGCACCCACTCAGACATGTCCCACCAGGCCACCATAACCCATCATGTGTAGTTTTTCCTAGTCATATAAGAGTTACATGTAGCACCGCCATCGCTAGAGTTCTGTCGTGCCCGCTCCCTGTTGCACACCTTTCCCTCTCATTCCACTAGTTCCTTACATTTGAGAGATCTACATAGGCTGCAGAGTACTTATCCATCTTATCCCACTAGTTTATTTACTTTTAAGAGATCTCATAGGAGTTGGTCAAGCCCAAACCTATGAAAACATAGCGATGACCAACTCGCACCCACTCAGACATGTCCCATCAGGCCACCATAACCCATCATGTGTAGTTTTTCCTAGTCATCTAAGAGTTACATGTAGAGTACAGAGTACTTTGTCCTCTAATACTACTAGTTTTTTTTACTAGGGCCAACTTTCAGAGTACTTATCCATCTTATCCCACTAGTTTATTTACTTTTAAGAGACCTCATAGGAGTTGGTCAAGCCCAAACCTATGAAAACATAGCAACAACCAACTCGCACCCACTCAGACATGTCCCACCAGGCCACCATAACCCATCATGTGTAGTTTTTCCTAGTCATATAAGAGTTACATGTAGAGTACAGAGTACTTTCTCCTCTAATACTACTAGTTTTTTTTACTAGGGCCAACTTACGTGAATGTTTAACACACTTTGCCTTCTTCTTGTGCTCCTAGCCCTCGGCCTTGTAAGTCTCTGCCTCCCTATACCATCTCCTCGATCTCCCTCGTTTCTTAGGCGGGTGATGGTGATATTGTCTGAGTGCCGAACTCAAACATGCCCCTCCACTCGCCATCGCTAGAGTTCCTGGTCGTGCCCGCTCCTGCCGTTGCACACCTTTCCCTCTCATTCCACTAGTTCCCTTACATTTGAGAGATCTACATAGGCTGCAGAGTACTTATCCATCTTATCCCACTAGTTTATTTACTTTTAAGAGATCTCATAGGAGTTGGTCAAGCCCAAACCTATGAAAACATAGCGATGACCAACTCGCACCCACTCAGACATGTCCCATTAGGCCACCATAACCCATCATGTGTAGTTTTTCCTAGTCATCTAAGAGTTACATGTAGAGTACAGAGTACTTTCTCCTCTAATACTACTAGTTTTTTTTACTAGGGCCAACTTTCAGAGTACTTATCCATCTTATCCCACTAGTTTATTTACTTTTAAGAGACCTCATAGGAGTTGGTCAAGCCCAAACCTATGAAAAGATAGCAACAACCAACTCGCACCCACTCAGACATGTCCCACCAGGCCACCATAACCCATCATGTGTAGTTTTTCCTAGTCATATAAGAGTTACATGTAGAGTACAGAGTACTTTCTCCTCTAATACTACTAGTTTTTTTACTAGGGCCAACTTACGTGAATGTTTAACACACGCTGCCTTCTTCTTGTGCTCCTAGCCCTCGGCCTTGTAAGTCTCCGCCTCCTATACCATCTCCTCGATCTCCTCGTTTCTTAGGCGGGTGATGGTGATATTGTTCTTCTGGCCTGAGGTATTAGGCGTAGTTCTCTGGCTGGTTATGGTGCCGAACTCAGACATCTCATAGGAGTTGGTCAAGCCCAAACCTATGAAAACATAGCGACAACCAACTCGCACCCACTCAGACATGTCCCACCAGGCCACCATAACCCATCATGTGTAGTTT